GAACAGGGCACTGCAGGCCTAGGGGAATGTGGGAAGCTGAGCTTTGAGGGTCATTCTGACAGGAGCAGGGGGCCTCAGGCTGCTGATGAATTCTTCCTGAGCAAATTTCAATGGTCTGGGAACTTAGAGAGAGTGGAGCCTGCCACGTGGTTGCCAGTGGCTCTGCTCAGGAGACGGTGAGGCAGGAGGCAGGACACCAAGCCCCATCCGTACCAATTTCCCTGGAGCTCCTCTGCTTTGCGTCAACTCCAGTGGACAGCCCGGTGGCAGATGTTTCTTTTCTTCTACGTTCTGTTTTCTTTTCCTGGGGCACCTCTAACTTTTAGCTCATAAGCAGAGTGGAGAAAACTACCTCCTGACGGAGGTTCCCTCAACTCAGATCTCAGCTCCGTCTCCTTCTCCCAGTCCTGATGGCTCTCTCCTCCAGTGCCCCTGCAGGCACCTCTCATCCCAGTGTTATCAACCCAATCACCTGAAAGGTACATCAGGTTGACCAAAACGATCACTTCTTCCAAGGGAAGAAGCATTAAGCAATTTTTCTTCCTCAGGGCTTTGAGTATGAAAACCTCAGACAGTCACCCCAAGAGAGACTGAGATCAGTATTCTGGATGCCCTTCTCAACAAATTTGAAAGAAATGAGCATACATCTGCAGTATGGTGACAACTGAACTTAATAAACATCGCAGAAGGATGGCATCTTCCCCCAAAAGGGCTCAAGTTATTCCTTGTCCCAACTCACTGACCCCACAGAGCTTGTCTGCCCTTCTGCCATGATATGACCCTTGGCACATTCATAGCTAAGTGGGAGGTGAAGTTCTGGTTTGCAGGAACGCAGAGCAAAGAGCAGCTCTGGGGGGTTTACAAGCCTCCTGTCACTGGCTTTGCTCTGGCTCTGTTCTTGCTTGTCCTTCCGATTCTGCAATGAGCCCAGTTAATGAGCAGCACACCTGACCTCACCAGCCCCAGCTAAAGTTTCCTTCCGCCCACAGCAATTTCGCCTGCTGTGATCTCCCTTCACCGGGGCCCAGGTAGAAACTACAGCAAGTCGGGAAAAGTTTAATTGGGCTCCAAATGTGATTAACCAAGACTGGCTCATGCACGCTCTGCCAGTGTTTAGCACGCCACAAATTCTAGCATTACCCAGTGGGTCCTAAAAGCCATTCTGCTTTTAATGTTCTTTGCCTAGTTTACTCAGGTTGGAATTTAAATCAAAGGGTAACATCTATATTGGGGATAACTTTCGAGTTTATCTTAATATAATGGCTAATAAATGTCATGTTTTAAAGCAGCTTTTTAAAAACAATGGTTTTAACAATGTTATATACTTTTAAGAGAATCTGGTAAGCAGTTGACTGAATCACTGTAATTTTAGGCATTATAAAAACAGAGCAACAGGAATAGGAGAGACAGGCTCGAAGGTACTGAATCAGAGCCAGAACAGATATTGGGATGTTCACAGAAACGAAAGCAGAGCATCCCACACCTTGCCCTCAGCTCCAAATAGGGCTCCTTGACAGCAGGGTCTCCTTACCCGCCTCCTTCCAACTGGAAAGAAGTGTCAGGCCAGCTCAGGGGGCTTCTTGTAATCAAAATCTCTGGTGCTAGCATTTGGACAGAAGCCTTGACTGACTCCATTTTGGTCGTATGGTGTCAGGGGAGACTCTGGCAGGCGGTTTCAAGGAGACAGCATGAGAAGGGAATCAGCAGCCTTAGTCTCCCCTGGGCTGTGCCTCTAATGTGATTTGGGACCAGGCGCATCACGTAACCTGACACGGCTCCATGTTCTTCATCTGTGAAAGGAGGGATTTGGCAAGAGGCTCTCTATTATGACTTCTGGCTCTGTGATTTCGTGGCTGCATCCCAGATTCCCAATGTTTCGTATTGCTTTGAATCAATGGGTTGATTTGTCGAGTATCTACTATGTCTATGCTAGATTCTACAATCAATCCTATTCTACAGCTATCGACTGACAGTCACTGGGCTAGGTGTTGTGGATGCAAAGAGAGAAAACATGGTCCCTTCCCTCTAAAAGTACGGTGTTTTATTTCAGAAAGTTGAGAAGAAGGAGGAGGGGGCAGAGGGGGAGGAGAAATGGAGATCAAGGACTTCTGCTTCCAGTGGGATGAAGTAGCTGGTGGCAAACCAGGCTCCTGCCTGGAACAACTAGAAAAGCCAGGTGAATACAGCAATCATCTGTTTGAAGGCTGCAGAGAGCTGCTTCGATAAGGAGAACTAGATGGGTAGAGACTGTTACTGAGGGCAAGGTTGGCTGGGAGCTCCAGCTGACTTCTGCAGCCACTTTTGCCTGGGGGCTTGCACTTCTGGGCATGCGCATGGGGCGGAATCCTGTGCAGAGCTCATGCTGTATTGGTTTGTTAGGGCTGTGACAGCAAAATACCACAGGCTAGGTGGCTTAAACAACAGAAATTTATGTTCTCATGGTTCTGGAGCCTAGAAATCTGAGATCAAAGGGTCAGCAGGGTTGGTTTCTCCTGAGGCCTCTCTCCTTGGCTTGCAGACGGCCACCTTCTTGCTGCTTCTCCACACGGCCTTGCCTCTGTGCACAGCATCCTTGGTGGCTCTTCTTCTTCTGAGGACACCACTTCTATTGGATCAGGGCCCTACTCTTATGGCCTCGTTTAAACTTAATTACTTCTTTAAAGATCCTTTCTCCAAATACCATCACATTGGGTCAGGGCTTCAACAAATGAATTTTGGGGGGACACAGTTCAGTCCATAACAGAGCCCCACAGAATAAACTAGTCTCTCTAAGAGCTCAAGGGCCAGTAGTGGACCAGAAGTAGACAGAACCTTACCAGAGCTGCATTCACCCTGGAATGCTGGAAAGAAATGCTTAGCCAGCAGGGATAAGGATGTTTAAGAGGTGTACGAGGCAGGTAGCAGACCCAAACTTCTTTGACCCTGGCTGCCTGTTTGCACACAGCATTGTGCAGGGCAGATGCTCCAAGGCACACTTGTCATGAAAACGGACCCAAGGCATTGCCGCACAATTTCTCAGAGCGTCTCCTACCATTTCAGGCTCCTCTTGGGCTCTCACCCATGTGTACTTTATTCCAAGCGTACCCTGGCCGTCCATAGGGCTGGGAGATCTTCTCATTTTTCTATTTGGTAGATTCTAGTTTATCCATTCAGCTTCAACTTGATTGCTATCATTTTTCTGTAGCATTTTCTGGTCCCCAGGCCTAATTTATTTACTTCCTCTTGTGCTGACCCTTTATAATCGCCTTTTAATGACACTGTATTATCGCAATTTTTTAAAGTGTGAAATACTTCAAATATACAAGAGGTATACGAAATAATTTAATATGCATTCCTGTACCCACCACATTTCTGAAAAATTAAAGTGTAATTGTTGAAGCCTCTTTGAAATGCTCCCGGAACACATCTTACCCTCCCTGCTGCCCTGGGGGGAAACTCTCTCCTGAATTTAGTGCTTAAAATTTCAGCTGATATTTTGTGTATATATGTATATGTGAGTATATGTACACATACACACATATAATAAATTTTCACATTTAAAATATGGGAAGTAGAATATACTTGCTTTTATTACTCAACATTGTAATTTTTTTATCATGGTAAAACATACATAACATGAGTTTACCATCTTAACCACTTCTAAGAGTACAGTTCAATAGAAGTACTGTCATAATGTTATGCTATCGTCACCACCATCCATCTCCAGAACTCTTTTCATCTCTATACCCATCAAAGGCTAATTCGACATTTCCTTTTCTTCCCAGCTCCTGTCAACCACCATGCTACTTTCTGACTCTATAATTTTGACTACTGTAAGTACTTCATATAAGTGAAATTATACAATACCTCTCTTTTTGTGGCTTGCTTACTTTGCTTAGCATAATATCCTCAAAGTTCAACCATGTTGTAGCATATGTCAGAATTTCCTTCCTTTTTAAGGCTGAATTGTACATACATACATATATATATATATATATATATATACATACCACATTTTGCTTATCCATTCATCCATCGATGGACACTTGGGTTGTTTCTATTTTTTAGCTATTGAGAATAATGCTGTTATGAACATGGATGTGCAAATATCTCTTCAACATATATTTTTTGGGGGATACAATTCAACCAACAACAGGGTCCCACCTCTTGACACATCCTGCTTGGCCATTGCGCCCTTTTCTTTCTAGTTGATTATAATGATTGGAACCCAAACAAGCTCACCTTCTTGACTTTGCTCATCTCTGCCCAATGCCTTCATGACTTGTGAACCACCTTCTGGCTGACCTTAGTCTCTGCGTCCTGCTGGTGTGGACACGGCTCTCTGGACTGCTCTATTAACCTTGTAGCGGGGTTAGCTTCTCATCTAGGACATGATGGGGGTCACTAGGCAAGGTTTTCAAACAGCATGCCACTACACAAAGTGTTTCCTGAGTCTTGTACAAGTATGAAGCCTAATTTGAATTGATGCATAAAATTGCTCTTCCCTACAACTGAACGTGAATACTGTTTCTGTTCTCTCTGGAGTGAAATGTTGAGCAGTTCATGCAGCATGGGGTGGCGTACAATCTATTGGGTATGGGAAGCAAAAGATATTTCACAACACCCAGTCAGTGCTAGGAAATATCACATATGACAACATAAAACAGGTGAACGGTTTTTCCTAGTCACACAAGTTTGAGGGTAGACAAATGAAATTTGGGATAACTTTAGAAAGACTTTTTCGCCCCAAAACTTGTTTACTTTTGAAAATTACTATATACCTTCTCATCTTTTCCTGATATGCTCCCAAAAGCTCTAGTATTCAAGAACGTGTATGAAACACAGTCTCTGAAAGGTTGAGATCTCCTGCAACCAGGAATTTGTCATGCTTTGGGTTTCTGCTTTTAGGCCTGAGAGTAACTGTTAAAGGAGGCAGGTGGGGACTGTGGGGGGTGGGATTGGAGCCAAGAGGAAGGACTTTGGGGCTTCTCCAAAGCCAGTGTCTATTTTCAGAAGGGAACAAAACACTCACCCAAAAGCATGTGTCATCCGGCTGATTCTCTATAATATCCTGGGTGAATCAGACATGTTCCAGCATTTCTGCTAAATGTCATCTCAGAAGAGGTAAGTTTCTGATGGGCTCAGATGGGCTCACAAATGCATCCTTTCTCTCTCTTTGTTCTGGAAAAAGTTACTGACTTTTTTTTTTTGTATGAATAAGTCATGCAAGCTAGTTAGGCCTCCCTTCATGCATATGCGAATGGAGCAAAAGATGTCAATTTTCGTCATGTCTAGAGGCAAGAATTGGCCCAGAAACAGGACAAAAATTCAGAATTTGGGACTGGGTAAGCAAAAGAACAAAGAAGTAGGAGAGGCATGATAAGATGAAGATGTGTCTAGACATCAGTAACAGAGATCCAGCTGAAGAGAGATATAATGGGGATCTGCTTGCAGAGAGAACAAAGTGGCCATCATTATGCACACAATTCATCTTATGGGGGCAGGGAGGTGGGGGGAAGGACAAAAGGATGTGGCATTTTCTGCAAGACAAAGAGAATTGATTGTGGAGCTAAAGAAAAGTTGGAGTAAATTTTCCTGACATTGCCCCACAACACCATCAGAGAAGCGGTCCATCCTAACACAACACTTGAGGTTCATATTAACAGTAGCATTTCTACTCCCCAAGCTCAGGAATGATTTAAATTTTCTTAAAACCCTGATCTGACCTCACCCGTGTGTCCTTTTCTTCCTCACTTTATTCTGTCAGCCACCCTTGGCTGAAGATCTCACTGGCTGTTTGTGGTTAAACTGGTTTGTGTTCAAATTGGCTTCCATCTGGGCTGGACTGTTGTCTCTAATTCTTGGCCTGTAGCTTTCAACAACGTTCAGGACTGCCCTACTGCCAGCCCCAGGACCCCTCTTCTTGTGTGCAGTCTTGTGGGCAGCTCCCACTGCACCCCACCCACCCAGTCTGTCCTGTCCTGCCTGAGAAAGATGTGAACACAGCACAGCAGAGAGGAGAGGAGGAAGTAACCTTGGTCTTTCGTGATATGATTAAGCTACTGGTCATACTTTCGGGTTTATTTTTGAGTGTGATAATACATTTCCTTATTGTTGAAGCCAGTTTGAGTCAGGCTCACCTGTGACGTGTTGCCGAAGAGGTTGTAACTGATTCACAGGAAGGAGGAGAAGATAATGCAAATACACACGAGTTGGTTTACCAGCTCTTACAGCCCCGCGTACTCATCCTACAGTGAGCTGCCCCTCATGGACCTGTTTGGGAGGGCAGTGAGGAGGACCGAGAAGGAGAAAGGGAACAGGAAGTTCAGGGACATCAGCCTTATGGTTTCTCCTTTTGGGGAGCTGTCAGCAGGTCATAATCCAACGATCCAGGATGTGCCGCCTAGAAGTCATACTCCCCAATGGGATGAGGAGGAGAAGGAAATAGGGGAGCAAGAGAAAGGTAAAAATGCATTTTGCTGCAATCAGATGGCCCTTTAATCATTTTTAAGACTTTAATCCTCAACTTGACTACCTGCTTCTCCAGGTAGGGGCAGGTAATCTTCTTTCTCTCACATCTTGTGTACTTTATTCTCTAGCTTAATAACCATCCATCATTCCTGTTAACTACGGAATGAAGCCAGATGTCATGGAATGTGCGTACCTCCACAAGCACCTATGTATACTTCTATGATAGTCCTTTTCAAAGCACCTTGTGATTGTCCCCCTAGAGCCAGAAGACAATGACTTTCCCCTTGTCTTTGTCAACCCACCTTGGAAATGCTCATTGTAGATGTTTGAGGTTGAAGGAAGTCTTCCTGGTCCTTTCTCACAGGTCTTCTTCAGACCCAGACCAGCCTTCTGTTGTCCCCTTTTGTCCTTGGCCACAGCTTCAGGGACGTGGTCTGCTGTACTCACCCTTAGCGGTTGCCAACCTCTCTATTCCTTGGGCCTCCTCTTACCCCATGTCTGGTGGGAAACAGGCTCCTCAGCTCCCTGTGTCCCTGTTGTCTCTGAAGATAGGCATCAAGGCCCTTCTCCCATTAACGTTAATGATTCAAGACTGATCATCATGCGAAAATATACAAGGACAACAAAAACGACTCCAATCAGAGACTTTACAGTGCTGACGAAATTCTTACAAGAGGAATCCTGGGTCTGTCGTTCCTGGCTCCCAAGCCCACATGAGGTTCTATGTGAGAATCTGCTGGGCCTTTCCTTCTGCCTTCTGGGAAGTGCCAGTTGGAACTATGCTTCTGACCCAGTCACTTTTCCTGACTAAAAGAAGCAATCAAGGATTAATAACAGTGGCTTTGTTGCTTTCTAAAGGGGATAATTTGCATCTCTATTGCCGGCCATATTGGAGAGCCCACAGTTCAGTAGATCTTTTTTTGCTGGATTTTTCAGCCTAAAGCAGGGTTCCATTGAACATTATTTTTTGCAGACATCCATTTTGTGTGTGTGTGTGTGCGCGCCACACCAATAAAACCAAACAAAGAAACAAAAAAACTGTATGAGAGGTAGAGTATTAGTTTCCTGTGGCTGCTATTGTTAAAGAAAAAATTAACTTGGCACTTGTTAAAACAGTAAAAAAGACTTTAGTCAAGACTAGGGGAGATAGACTGTGCTCAATTCTGAATACAACAGGGACAAGTGGTGATTTACAGCCAAGGGGGGGCGGCCAGTGGATGGAAAATTACTGAGAGGAGACATCAAGGATGGGGGCATTCTTGCTAAATTGGTCTAACAAGATTCTTGCTGAAGGCAGGTAGAGGCCTTAGACATCAATGTGGGGAGTGAAGAACTTTTTATTTTCTTCTTTTTTGAGGAAGATTAGCCCTGAGCTAACATCTGCCACCAATCCTCCTCTTTTTGCTGAGGAAGACTGGCCCTGAGCTAACATCCGTGCCCATCTTCCTCTACTTTATATGTGGGACGCCTACCACAGCATGGCTTGCCAAGCAGTGCCATGTCCACACCCGGAATCTAAATCAGTGAACCCTGGGCCACCAAAGCAGAACATGCACACTTAACCGCTGTGCCACCAGGCTGGCCCTGGGAATGAAGAACTTGATCAGACATCAAAAGTGGTCAGATAATCAAGGGTGAAGGACTCTCGCTAAACTGGCATAGCAGGATTCTTGCTAAGACTGGGTGATGCAGGCCCAGGACAGGACAGATATGGAAGGCCAAGGTCGAGGCCTAGTCAAGAGGAAGACTCAGAGGAGCCTAATTAAAATTCGCTTAAGGAAAGAGTCTCTGTCGATCCTTCCTCTTGTTCAAGGAAAGAAGAAATATAAGAACAATATAAGTTAATTTCTCATCTGGCCACTTTTTGTTAATTAAGGACAGCCTGAAATATCTATTGAGGCTTGGTCATAAAGGTATTTGTTAGATGGTGAGAACCATCAGGCATTTAATGAGAGACTTTTTTAGTATGATTATCCACAATCGTGGTTATTTCCCAGAGCAAAGTGTTGAAGAGGCGAGAGTTCAGTGAACTTTCTAAGCGGCCCAAGCAGCAGCGGGCTCCGAGGCTGCCCGTCCGTGACTTACCGTGGCGTGGGGCCTTTAAAGCGTGTGTCAAGTCACCTGGCTTCAGTCTGCTTCAGGGCTTTAGTTCAGTTCGAGGTTTGTTTGGATCTTGAGGGAAAGGTCAGCTACAAGACACCCTAGAGTCTCCATAAGGATCTGGGCTTTCAGATTTCGGTTTTTAGTGATGCCAAGTCAGGAGATGGGAGAAAACTTGGAAATGTCAATTTGGAGAGTTCTAGCCAGATATTGAAGGAAACTAGAAGAATTGAGAATTTGGTAAGGACAGACAAAATGTGCAAGATGGTAGGATCCAGTTCAATCCAAAGGTAAACAGCAGAACCTCAAGGACAATAAACAGGGACCTGATAACACACAAGAAGGTGCTATACTTTTCCACTAAAATGTAAAATTTCTCTCTATAGTCACTCCCCCTTTTTGATCAAAGATAACCAAAGTAAGGTTATTCTTATTGACAAAATAAGTCTGATCTCATTAGAATTGGCCAGTCTATTTACGTAAGTTCAACAAGAATGGCAATTGACCACATACAGCTTTTAAAGTTTGCTTTGCTGGGACTTTTCATAGGAAATCTCAGATTAGACTTTTAAAAGCCTCTTGAGGCCAGGAAGCCAGGCCAAGGACTCACCACCAGACTTCACCACAGTACCTACAGATTTGGGTGAATTCCTCTATTCTTAAATTTCCCAAAGTATCCTAAGTTTCCTGGACCAGCCAGAGATGACCCTCCTTGCTCTCCTATAAGGCTGGGAACCCTGTAAGCCAGATACCAGGCTGGTTTTCCCAGGAGAACGTTGTAAGTATTGGCTCCATAAAGTCAATCTTAGTTCCTTAAACTGTCTAATCCTACCTAATTCTATACATATCATTCTCAAATCTCACATTCCAGTCAAAGCCTTGGATACATAACTAATGTTTCCAGTCACCTTCTGTTACAAGGAAGACAGACTGTCATTGAACTGATGTAAATAACTATATTGCCGTGAAAAGAAGAGTGCGCAAAAAGAGTTTCTGAATTCTGGAGGGATGAGGCAGGGAGGAAAAGATAACTGTTTTATTTTTGTTTACAAAAGTATAATCCACTACATTGTTGTGAGTTTTAGATAGCTTAAGAGAAAAGAGAAGGGAGTTCCTTATATCTACAAAATAGAGCATTAAAGAACCAGCAAAGTTACAAACAAAAGCCATAAAAAAATCATGATCATTCTTTATCAGTTCATTCAGTTCCATGTGATTAATCTCTCTGCTGGATCTTGGGTTAGCAGTTTTATGAACCCGTCAGCTTCTCCACTAGAGTTCTGGAAATCCTTACTTGTCCAGTGGTGCGATCTTACAGTTATTCAAGCAATGCCGTCAGAAGCCTGCACCCCACAGTCCTTTCCACGAGTCTCTGAGATGGTTGCTTTTTGTTGGAGATGAAGCATTCTGCCTACAGCTGATTATAGATGCTTCCAGAGAAGGATCAGAGTAAAGCAAAAACAATCTGTGGAGACAAAAGACTTAAAATGTCAGTGATTAAAGATCTGATGAGAGTTCATTATAAAAATGACACAATTGACAAGAAAATCTAT